TTTGGTATTATACCCCAGACTGGATTGAGTTCCTAGGCTTTTACCAGTTTTGCTTTGTTCCCGTGAATGTATCTCACCATTGTAGCAGATCTGAGGAAGGGCTGGGAGATAACATTCAGTTTATTCCTTGGGAAGAAGTAAGACTGCATTGTAGTCAAGGATAGATTAAGGCTTCCCTCTGAGGGTAGTGGAAAGTCCTTCTTCATGAAGAGAGCCAATACCAGCGGCTGGCGGAGAAAGTCTATGGGTTGTGGTGACTCCAGTAGGCAACTGTGACTTATAGTCCCCAAAGCTAAAGAACATGGCAGGGTATTTCAGCACCTTGTGAGAGATAGCAAAGGTTCTTCTTCAAGTAGAGGTAAGGAAGGAAAAGTTCAGTTAAACTGCCTTTGTTGAGAATTAGATATTAGAGGAAGAAAACACAAACTTTCTACTTTGGATTTTATATTCTCTTAAATTAAGCTATAATTTGCATAACATTCTGTTTATGAGTAAGAATGAGAAAGTTTTCAGCAGTTATTATTGTAATAGAGTACGGTTTAAATGGAAAATAATTAAATTGATATTATGCTATTACTAGTCTCTATATTATTCATGTCAATTGGATGCTATCTTTCCTTGAGAAGAAATAACTAAACTGTTATAAAGGGTTTGGGATGGAGCTATCAAAACTGACATACATCCATCGGGCACAATGGCAGTGACTTTCACCACTGTCTCTCAGGGTTGCTTCTGGGCAGCCTTTGCCTATCAACCAATCAATGAGATTTACCCCAAAGTTGAAAGTCCTGCCCTACCAGATCTAAGAAGTATGTATACAAATGTTAACTTGTTAAGTGGGAGGTTGTGTCTTACACAATTTTCTGAACTTTAATCTTTTCCTTCCTCAGCTTATTTCTTATATCTATTCCTTTTTACTCTTAGAACCTTCTTCTCCATCAGGTTTTTCTTAAGAGCAAGTCACCAGTAGTAAACACATAGGAGTAAGAATATTGCTATACTGGAATTTTTGAGACTAGAAGGATACCTTATTCTGTCTCCCAGCTCCAATATTCTGAAAGTCACTGGGTTAATTTCTACAGATTCTTGCCTCACCTTTTCTTAGTCCAAAGCCTTCTTAGTGTAATTTAAGTAATTTTTTCCGTGGAAGCTTTATAGTGCACAATATAACAATTAACTTGCTTACTCATGTGATCCCAGAAAGAACTTCATGTATCTTCATGGAATGAATGTGTCCACAGCAAAAATATGCCTTCGGTTTTTCTTGTGCATTCCCTGTGTTAGATCTCATGTAAGAAAGGCCACCATGCTCCCAGCAGCGTTCACAGTTATGTAATCCTTGGAGTTTGTCCATCCAGGCCTGTTTATGTTTCCTGTCCTCAATCCTCTTGCAAACAAGACCCCTTTTCCATCTCACAGAAGGAAGTAATGTCAATATCCTTTTCCTAGGATGATAGCAAAAACAGTTTGAAAGTAGAAAGTAGTGAGAAGATCACTAAGTGATTTGAGATTGAGAAGCAGAGTTGAGTACATACATTCATCATTTAAACCAGTGCTGTCTTGTTCAACACTATACCCTAGAGATATTGGATAGACTTGATTTGGAACCCTTTTCCACCTCCTTAAACTTCATTTTGGATCAGTTTTTGACTTTGGACAAGTTACATAGCCTCTGAACTCAGTGTTTATATATGATTCAGTTGAGGTTTCTAATCTTTTCCTATTCACATCAATTTTCATGTAGCATTAAATGTAAATATTATCCTGTCTGACAATCATAGTTACTGTCATTGAGATACTATTTTGTATTTACCAGTGAGGATGCAGGAAAACCTTTTTAGCTATAGGTCTTTGCTATATTATCTTTTTTTTTTCAGGTTTCAAATGCATTTTTATTTACTATTTTTGATGACTATAAATAAGTGTTTCCACTCTGGAAAAGAAAGTTAGTATGGTACATTTTCATGACCAGGAAATGGGTTCTCTGAAGTCATCTTCAATGGGATAAAAACTTAGAAAAACAAAACAAAAAAATGGCCTCAGTGTTGGAATTCAGTTCTTTCTATAAAAATCCCTTGTAGAAACAAACAGAATTAAAGATAAAGTAAAAAGAGGGGGAGGTCAAAATTTTTAAAAGAAAAGAAAAAGAAAGGAAAAGGAGAGAAGTTAAGAAGACTCATTGTATCTCCAACTTTTCTTCAGTCTTCTCTCCAGGGTCCTTGTTCTCCTCCTTCACAGAGAGAGCTTCTAGCTTTTCAGCTACTTTTTCAACATTATCATTTTTGCCTCTATTTTCTCTCTCTTTGATCTCTTTCCTGCATTCTTCAAACTTTGTTTTAAATTTTTGTGCGTTCTCAGTATCTAGGAAGCAGATGGCAAGCAGCTCCGGCTTGGGGTACTCATTGGAGACGTCAGCCTGGGGATTCCAGACCCAGGCCCTTGGCTTTAGCTCCATCCAGGGCTTGATACAGAGGTTGGCGCAGATCTTCAGGATCTTGTCCCTTGTGCTTCAGGAGCTTGATGTCACCGGTTCCTTGTTCTTTCCATTCCGGGCTATCATTCTCTGAAGCAAATTGGAACAACTTTGCTCACATTTTAAAAAGTTCCTGCAGCATTTTAATTTCTTGCTCAGGAAGAGAAAGTATTAGTTTAAACTGGGGTCGTGGTTGGACTTGTCTGCCTTCTCAGGGGAGGTATCATGTCCTCACCAGTGCCCTCACTGTGGCCATAGGGGCATGGCAGTGGCCGGCGGCTCCTTGCAGACTCCAGGGCCTCTGGGGTGGACCCTTGCAGCTCCTTCCCTCAGTGCCTGGAGCCTCCCTCCAGCCAGCCCTGCACTTCCCTCCCCCACAACCTGAACCCCAACTCCTGACCCCAGGCAGCGGCGGGAAGCCTGCTACTTTATTTAAAAGTAAGTCTCTGTTTTCTCTCCCCACTCCCCTCTAAAGTTCCCTTTATGAACTATGTTCCCCCTTGACCCCTACTTTACAAAAGTATTTATGATAGAAATGAAGTATTCATGCGGCCTTGACATGCCATTGGAAGGTGCCGTTTCATCGGTTCCTCAATAACTCTGGTGGCAGTTTATCTGTCTACATCTGTGACTGTCACCAAGGGACAGCCTGCTCTTCTGGTATCACCTGTTAACAGAGGGAAAGCACAGAGTTTAATTAAACCAGTTACTATGTCAGGACGGTACCGCTTGGGATGTATAAAGGTTTCTCTTGAAGCGGCTCCTTTGAGATACAGAAAGAAAAATGGCTACTTCATGAGTGGCAGTGGCAAAACCATTTGATTTTTTGATAATTTAGAAGATTTTGGATCCTAAAAATTTCATTCCTTTTCTTTAAATGATTTGTGGGCAGAAACAGCACAATGTATTCTATATCTAATCACATAGCTTTGTTTCTGTTAACATTGTTCATTTTGTTTATGGTGTCTCTAGCCCTGCATACAAACTTTAAAGAGGAATGAATTTGCTTCACCTACTGTTAACTTGATACACCTTACTGCTGCTTTGAGACTATCCTTACCTGTTGGCTGGGAGGAGCAAAACAGCCTTCATCGGAATTGGAAGGTTGGGTGAGAAATAATGCATTAGTAACTTAGTTTAGCTTCTACACACACAAGTTTTATCTTTGTTTAATATAGAGTGTTTTTGCACCATGGAAAGGAGGCCAAACTCCCTCTGCCTCTCTGTTCCCTTTGCTCCTACCTTCCCCCATCAAGGCCCAGTAGCACATTTATCCTGGACATTATCCTTTTTCTTCCATTCCTATCACAAAACAGCTTCTAAGATCTCTGGAGAACTGGCAAATTCACCTCAAGCAGCCAACCAGCCAGTCAGCCAGCCAAAATGTCTTCGGCTCTCTGAAATGACGTTACTTAGACCCAGCTAGTACTTACCTCTCTTTCCTTAAAGCATTTTATTTTAGTCCAAATACAGGGATTGTTCGACTGTCAAATAGATCTATGAATAATAATGATACTTAAATAACCTTGCCAATAGACAAGACTAATGTGTGGTATTTAAAGTCAGGGCAATAGTGACCTTTTGGGAGAGTGGTAGTTATGTGTGTTTACTTTAGAAAAATTTATTAAGCTACTCAAGATTTTTGGCTTTTCTTTTGTGTATGTAATAAACTAATAAAATGTTTATTAATTTTTTAGAAAGTACCTGCTCTCTTTCTGTAGTACCCCATGGGCATGTATATTATTGTTATATATTCACTTGTCTGTGTTGAAGGGTCATATTTTCGTCAAGAAAGTCTTTTATGAAATGAAAGGAGAGGAAGCATTTTTAAGCCTTTAGTGTGAAGTGGATTAATTCTGTATGTCAGTCCTTTGATTATATACCTGTGTATGTGATCTGTAATTATTCCACTTAGCTTCTTATTGCATTGTGGTAAAAGTGAAAATGTAAACATTTTGTTCCTCCCTTTTTACCCCAGAATTATAATTCTTATAGTTTGAGAAATATGCTTTCTTTCTTTTTATATCATGTATATGTTATAAATTAGCAGTTATTTATCTGAATAGAGGGAGGATAATTTGTAGAAGTACCTGATTTAAAAATCCATACTACAACATTAGGTGTACTTAGTGTGTAATATTTTTTTGGCATTCGATTTACGTGCTTCTGCTTGACTTTGTGTAATAGCAACTTACTACTCTAAATACCAAGACAGCCAGAAGTAAGCTGGTAAGTAGAAAAAGGACATTCCTTCCCCCATAGATAACAAGAAGTGAATAGGAATTAACTTAGATTTTAGATTGGTTTTCTTTTCTTTCTTTTTTTTTTGAGACAGGATCTCACTCTGTAGTTCAGGCTGGCCTTGAACTCACCACGTAGCCCATGCTGGTCTTGAACTGGTGGCACTCCTGCCCCAGCTTCCTGAGTGCTGGGATTATAGGCATGTACCACTATGCCTGGCAGTTTATTTCTTATAAGCAGCTCATTACACAAAGAGTGCACTTTAATTTATTTATTTTCCCCCTAGATTGAAAGGAAGACTGATGAAGAAAAACAACATGATGCAGGTAAAAGAGATTTTTAATTTCTTTACTTTGTGCTTAATTACTATTTTCTGTGTATTCCCATAGGAAAATCTAAAGAAATAATTCCTTGTGGCAAACTTAAGATATATAAGAAATATTTGGGGATATAAGTAAAATAAACATATGTGTATACCATTTAATTTAGTTATATGTACATTGAACAATGACATGTTTATACAAAACAAAATATAACTGATGTTTTTTCCTACCACAGCTCTTTACACAGGTATTTGACATTGGTGTCTTCCTTATTGGAGTCACATTTTCAAAGCATTCAATACCATTTTCTACAGTATAGTATCATTTTAGTTGTTTGTAATCCAGTACCTTTAGAATTTACATGTGGTGCTGTAATTGGAAATTTTATTCTAAACTACAAGTAGCCATATGCATAATGTTAAGACAGTTGCTATTTTCATTCTTTCTGTGTAGATGAACATTGAAGATCTCAACTGTGTAACTGTGTAGAACTGGTTCTTTAAATCAGTCTTCTCTTTCCTCCCTAACCCCTCCCTCCCTCCCACTTTTCTCCCTCTCTCTTTTTTGTCATTATTTATTTTGAGGTAATTATGTATAGATTGTTCAATAATTCAAGTAGTACTATAATAGCTACTCTCCATTTTTTTAAAATAATTTTGTTGCCTAAAGATAACCCTTTTCAGTTCTTTTAGTTATATTTTCTGGTATTCTCCTACCCATTTCTAAACAACACAATATGAGCATTAATGGCCATTTATTGATTTCTTTTAAATTTTAGACTTATGTGTTGATTTTCTGCTAAAGATTGATTTTTCATAGGCAACCTACAGAATGGGAGAAGATACCTACAAACCATACATCTAATAAGGCATTAAGAACCAGAATATATAGCTCTTAGTACCCTTATTCTTGTCTCTCCATTTTTCTTGTTGCAGTCATGTCAGTGTGTGTTTAAATAAACAGTTTTCTTTATTATGACCATATTTTATTTGTTGCTGAGCTCTGTGATGTAAATCAAGATGCCTTAGTCTGTTTTGCTTCCCAGTTGGTTGTGTGTGGAGTGTTTTATGTCTCTGGAAAATGTTTAATATTTTTCTTATCCCCAGAATTCTGCAATTTCAAATTGGACTGGTGGACTTTATTGTTTGCGCGCCTGCCCACCCTCCCTCCCTCCCTCCCTCCTTCCCTCCCTCCATCCTTTCCTTTCTCTTTTTTCCTTTTCTTTTCCTCTTTGTGTCTTTCTTGTTTGTAGTTCTTTTAGCTTGGAAGCTTGTGTCCTTCAACTTGAAAATTTTTCTTTTATAGCTTTTTTGATAATTTCTTTATGTACTTTCTTTGTTTTTGACTAGTATATTAGTTGGATGTTTTCACCTACTAGTTTGATACTTTAACTTCTTTGTGTTCTTTTATTTTTCCATCTTTCTGTTTTATACTTTCTGAGAGGTTTTCTTAGTATCTGTTGAACTTTTAATTTCATCTACCATGTTTATAATTTTTAATTTAATTTTTTGGTGCGTCTGAATATTTCCTTTTTGCAAATAGCATCTGGTTTTGTTTTACAGCTGCAGTATGTTTTCATTTCCTTTGGGAATTGAAATTGTTCTTTGTTTATTTCTCTGCTGTTTTTGGTGTACAATATTTTTTTTATCTGCTTGTTTTGAATCATGATTTTAATATTAAAGGTTTTTCTGAAATGAATGGTTGTGTACTTATATTTAAGAGTGAGATAATAAATTGTGGACTAGAAGTTGATTGTCTGGTGGGCTCCCCTAGAGAGTCTTCAGGCAGGGAGGAACCTGGCCATTACTCATCAGAATGTGTAGATTTTTGTTTTTCTTGACATTTCAGTTTCTCCAAACAGAAATCCTCTATTTACCTTTCTGAGGGGTATCAGCCTGACAGTGAGGGTTTGGGGGAGCCATGCAGGCCACACCTGTATTGGTTAGATTTAAATGAGACTATTCCAATCTTTTCTGCTATCCCCGAGTCTGAAGTCTTGCTGTACCATTTTCTCTATAGAGTACCTTTCGCCTTTTATGGGAATAGGGATGGTTTGTTTGGCTTTTCCAGATGGGAGAAAGGATCTGGGGTTCTTACTGCTTTTGTTTGTTATTTTTTGCTTAAAACAGTACAAGTCTATTCTTCTAGCAGTTCTGTAGGTCAGAAGTCTAACCCAGGTTTCATTAGGCTAAAATCAAGGTGTTGACAGGTCGCATTCTTTCTTGGAGGCTCTAGGGGAAAGTCCAGTTCCAGAGCCTGGCTGTGTTCTATGGCTTGAGGCCCTTTTTCTCCTTTAAAGTCAGCAATGGCAGGTCAAGTATTCCTCACACTGTATTATTTTTACCTACTCTTCTATCTGCCTTTTCCACTTCTATGAACCCTGTAGTTATATTGGGCCCACCCAGATAATCCAAGGACAATATCTTAATTTCTTTTATTGTAGTAAAAATCACATAACATGAAATTTACCATGTTAACTATTTATAGTGTGGAGTACAGTAAATGTTAACCGTGTGCACATTGTTGTGCAGAAAATCTCTAAGACTTTTTCATTTTTAAAAACTGAAACTCTATACCTATTGAATAACAGCTTTTCCCTCTTACCACCCTCTGATGATCGTAATTTTACTTTGTTTCTTAAGTCATATAAGTGGAATCATGCAGTATTTGTCTTTTTCTGGTTGATATCACTTGGTGTAATGATCTCATGGTTCATCCATCTTACAGCAAATGATGGGATTTTCTTCTTTTTAAACATTGAATGCTGTCAGTTAGTGAACATTTAGGTGGCTTCTGTTCTTGGCTATTGTGAATAATGCTACAGTGAACATAGACATGCAAATATCTTTTCAAGCCCCTGTTTTTAAATATTTCAGATTTACATCAGAAGTAGGATTGCTGGGTCATATGAGAGTTCTACTTTTAATAATTTGTTCATCTCCATGTTTTCTATAGTCACTGTACATTTTACATTTCTACCAAAAGTGTACAGCAGTTCTAGTTTCTTTAAAACTTTGCCAACATTTATTATTTTCTATTTTTTGGTAGTGGCCATGGGTATAACATGAGAGGTTATATCATTGTAGGTTTGATTCATGTTTTCCTGATGACCAGTGATGTTGAACATCTTTTCTTATGCTTATCGACCATTTGTATAACATTTTTGGAGAAATGTCCATTCAAGTCTTTTGTCCATTTTTAAAATTGCGTTATTTGCTTTTTTGTTGTTAAATTGTAGGAATTTTTTAATATTAGTTTTTAAGGTTATTAATGCCTTGAGCAGATGCAAGGTTAGTACATAACTTCTCCCATACTATATGTTGTCTTTTCTCCCCTCTTGATGGTTTCCTTTGCTGTATAGAAGCTTTCCCTTTTTTTCCCTTTATTTGCAACACTGGGGTTTAAACCCAGGGGTACTCTACCACTGAGCTATATCCCCAGCTCTATTTATTTACCTATGTATGTGTATTTATTTATTTTTGAAGTACTGATAATTGGACTCAATGTGCTCTACCACTGAGCTAAACCCCCAATCATTTTTCAAATTTTGAGACAAGGTCCCACGAAATTGCCCTGGCTGGCCTCAAACTTGCCCGCCTCCTGCCTCAGCTCGGATTACAGGAATATGTCATAGTGCCCAGACTCTTACTTTTATGTTTGCCAGAGTCCCAAATTATTTATTTTACCTTCATTGCCTTTGCTGTTGATGTCATATCCAAGAAAATCATTTGTCAAGTACAGCGTCATGAAGCTTTTCTATTTTTTCTAGGACTTTTATAGTTTCAGATCTTACTTTTAGTTCTTTATTTTGAGTGATTTTTATATATAATGAAAGGGTATTTTTTTATGCACACCTGCTTTTTCCAGTCCTACCCCTACACCTGCCCTCTGAGCCAACGGAAGCCCCCTTTCCTGAGGTTTTTGGAAACATCTTCTGGCTTTTTGTTTGCTTCTCAGGCCCTGCATTCAGTCATCTCCGCTCTTTAGCTTGCAAAATACCGTGGGTTTATATTGTCTTCACTGATGCAATTTTCTGTTTCTTTTGTCTTTGTGAATTTATATATTTTTCTTTCTTTACTGTCATTTTTTTTCTTTACTGTCATTTTTATGTAGAGTTAGAGGGAAGTGGAGATAAACAGTCCTAATTTTGTTAGCCATCTGTAAGCCCCAAATTTGTATTGCATTTTAAAATTAAAAGCTTTTGAAACAGTGGTGCCTCATATTTCTTTTTGTGAGGTACAACCTCTTAAAAAAAAATAGTTAAATCTATTTTTCGTGTGTGGTAGTGGTGGTGTGAACCCAGGGCTTTCCCCCTGAGCTGTATTCCCAACCCTTTTTTATTTTGTTGTTTTGAGACATGTCTTGCCAAGTTGCACAAGCTGGGCTTGAAGCTGTGATCCTTCTGCCACAGCCTCCCAGAATGCTGGAATTACAGACATGTGCTACCGTGCCTGTCTTCTTTGCTTTCTTTTTTGATAACTAGCTTGTCAAGTCACCTGTGTGTATTCAAAGAAAACATTAATTAAGTTTGCTTTCCAAACATTATTTCATTTTTCAAAACAAACAGATTATTATTATATGAAACAATATGAGACTTGAAGAGGTTTTGAATTTAAGGCAACATCATATTTCTTTCTCTTTTTTTGGAGATAAACCCTTTGCTTTATAAACTGCATTGGTATGATCAGGGGATAGTTTCTTTGTAATATGTAAATATATTATTTGAAGATTTAATTGCATACTTTTAAATTGATGGCAAGGGAGTCTAGTTATTTAGAATTTTAAAAAATATTATAAAAATTGCTTTTTGTGACTGTATTTGATTATTTATAGGAGTAGCATGATTTCTTATAGATAGGATAAAAATGATTAGATAGGGGATTGCCTGGCATAACTAGGTTCTGTAGGACTATCAAAAGGGTGGTTTCTTTTATTCTAAGAATTGTTTTTTATAAAATTAAGCCTGTTAGTTTGCTCAAGATATCAGTTATTTCATTTTGTTCATTGAATCCCTTAGGATTTCATCTGTCCAGAGATGGCTTCACAGAGACAATAATTCTATTGAAATATGAATAGGGAGAGAAGAACAGCCTTAGTTTTTATCAGATATTCAGTGATATAGGCCTTATTATGAGCCTAAAAAGATTAAAAGTCTATTTCATAGAGATTATAGTAGCGAGATAGAGAATAAATGAATGTTGCTGATTAAACACTGTCAAAAGCCACTGCCTTTGTAGCTACCATTAGATTCTACATTCTTTCACATATAAATATAAGTTGTGAATGAGGAGCTAAATAAATAATACTCTGTTCTGTTTGAACTGAACAACATTACCTCTAGCTTCCTGGTTATGTACACACACACACACACACACACACACACACACACACACACTCTCTCTCTCTCTCTCTGGGGTTTTGAGAAGAGGGTAAGTTACTTTTGTTTTCAGTTTGAAACACTATGATTAATTTGTGATAATTAACTATTTAAGATTGTTGATAAAAGGGCCAGGGATTTAGCTTAGTGGTTCCACCACCTGCCTTGAAAGCGCAAGGACCTGAGTTCAATCCCCGGTACCAAAAAAAATAAATAAAGATAGTTGATAAATATATAAAAGGAGAAACACCTCTTTGTGATAGAGTAAAAGACTTAGTTTTTTAATTAAGAAAAAGTGGTGGAGAGCGTTTTATGTATGTTTTATGGCAATAAGAAAAGTAAAAATTAAAATGCTAAGAAGGAAAGAAAAGATGAAAGTGGGAGATAGAAAAGGCCCACTGTGAATTTTTTGCTTCCAGTCTTTAATGCTTTTATTTATAATGACCTATACTGGATTTGTGAGATTCTTTTAGTTTTCAAATTCTATGATTCTATTTTGAAGTTAAGTTTAAATTACTCCTCTATTTCAGGAACACCATTGAATCCTTGGGAATGTACAAAAGTGTCTGATTGAGAAACGTATGAAATACAAGACAAGAGGCTACATCAGGAAGTGTGCATGGAAATTACTGCCAAGGAACCTGCCCATAGATGTGAACAGTAGCTGCCAGAGGTATGTAATATCAGAGAGTGGCCCACTCCACTGTCCTGAGTCCAGGCGGGCTGTCCTCTGAGAATGGAGGCCAGTCTTAGATCTCAGAGATGCACTGTCTCTTGTTCTCTACACTTGATAGTGTGCTGGGAGGTCACTTTTCCTTCCTGGAGCTACTCTGACTCACCCCTCGAAAGTCTTTCCTGTTGTCTTGAAGGACAATAAAGACAGATGACGTTTGACTCAGGCCGGATGTAGGTGATAGGAAATTTCCAGCCAAAGACCTCATTGCATTCTGTCCTGTGAGCAAAGCAGTTTCACATCAAAGCTCAGCAAATGCATGCCCTTTGAACTGTCTGTTGCTGTTGGTTTTATTAGTACCATGAGCATCATCAAGGCTGCTTCTGATTGGGCAGTGACTATGTTGGATTGATTGGCTCCCTGTTAGTCATTTACTTTGACCTGCTTGTCTCTTGAGCTCTGCAAGTACTAATGTTAAGTGCCCACTTAATTTTCTTGCCTTCAGTTTTTGTCTCCTCAGTGTTTATAATGGAGGTCAGGGTCACCGCTTTTTTTTTTTTTTCTTTTCCAAATGTCTTATGACCTTTAATGGATGTCTGGCTTTTAATGTACTAGCTCTTTTCTTTTGGGATACCATATGTCTTACTATATCTCACCTAACTTCTTTAGAATTTTTGTGCTTTTTTCCTCCATTTACCAGTACAAAACACTAGAGATAAGTCCTGTGCTAAGTATTTTACATTTTGATGATTATACCATTGTGAATGCATTAAATAAGTCTCTTTTTGTAGATGAGAAAAGGTTCTAAGTGGTTGTTTATTGTTTCCCAGAGAATAAGTGGCAGAAATGACACCCAGCACTGTTTGTTAGTCTCAATCTTGTACTATGGAGTCAATACAGTACATTTTCTCCTCTTTTTCGTACAAAAGCAGTCTTAAACAGTATGTAAACCTCATTCTCATAGAAAGGAGGGCTTCTAGGTGGGCCTGGTTCTATTTACTATGGAGACTTCATCATGGCAGTGGCGGTTCTGGTTTTTGATGGACTGAGTGGCTCCTGAGGACTGCCAAGCATTTCCCTTGGGCTGTACTTCATTTCCTCCCCTGGCCTTACCAGGCTGCCAGTAGCAATTAGGTTGCTTCACCTGAGCATTTGCATTGAGGCCTTCAAACCAAAGCAAGTTGTCCCTGGAATTTCACCACACAGTCACTGTTAAGGGCAGATCTGGCATTTACATACCAGTCTCAGAATTTCAAGTATACTTATATCAGTAAGTAAAATTTCTTTTTGTTTTAAATGTATTTAGTTTTCCCTAATTCTCCACAGATAGTTGGTAAACGTTGAAAAGTTTAAACAAAATAAAAAGCATGACCCAGAGATGGCCACTGGTAATATTTTGGTATAGATGCTTTCATTTTTATTCCTGCAAGTTTGTATACCATTTAAAATAAAATAAAAAATTAAAATCATAGTCTTTTATATTTATATTTACTTGATATAACTGCAGCATTTTCCACATGCTTAAATGTGCTTTTTTACCAACTTTTTGTGACTATAAAGTACTCCTTATGGGTAATAACATAAACAATTTGATCCTGGGGCTGGGGATTTAGCTCAGTGGTTTCGCCGCCTGCTGCGCAAGCGCAAGGACCCGAGTTTGATCCCCGGTACCAAAAAAACCCAAAAAACCAAAAAAAAACAATTTGGTCCTGCTGTTAGGTAGGTCTCATCCTTCTTCAGTTCAGTTAGAATTTCACCAGATTAAGTCACAGTGGTAGGACAGATATATTAAAATAAAATTCATAACTCCATATTTCCCACTACTTCTCATATAACTTTTAAAATAACTAATGATGGTTATTAATGATGGTTAGAACAATCTAGGTTCAAAAACTTCTGTCCTATCATCCAATGAACCTGACTTGTAAATTTCTCGGTGCAAGGCTATGCATTAGTAGAACACTGGAAGTTCTTTTCTGACTGAGTTTAGAACTACCTTTTTTACTCTTCCAGGTAGCCCATCTGTGATACCATGTAACTTTTACATAGTTAGATGAGATCTTGATTTTCAGGTGTTATAGGCCTACTAGTTAGTTAAACTTTTCTTCTCTTCATTTTTAATTTTTAAAATATTTTTTTGCTAAATACTTCCAAAGGGTCAAACCTTGAGTCAGGCAGCTACACAGATCAGAGGAAGCCCCAGGCCCCATGAGGCATGCTACTCTTGCATTGTTTTGGAAAGCATTCACAAAGCATTACGCATATGGCTTCCCCTGAAGCTGCTGAATGCTGTGATGCTAGAGATTAGAGTTATGAAACTGAAAAGTTATAGTTGCAGGCAAGATGGGTGAACATTTTATCAGAGACACTGCTCTTAGAAAAGGCTCTTTTGAAACTAGGACTATGATGTATTGTTATTGTTCTTTGATAGACCTCATTATCAAATTAAATCATCCTCATCCTCATCAGACCATTGGTTTTCAGACTTGGTTGGTTTATCCCCTTGGCTGTTTAAGGGTTGTGGACAAGGCCTTTGGGCTCTTTTTGGTCCCATCAGCCAACAGCTGTACTTTTATATGCTTTATGTAGTGAACTTCATACATTTTTGTTGAAAGAAGTATCTGCTGCTGAAGGAAGACTGAAAATCACTGTAGCATGTAGATCCCCAGGGAACATGAAAATGAGATAGGAAATGGATATTCACATAGTAGTATTTTTAGATTTCCATCACATCTGTCATTATTCTGCAGTGACACAGAAAGCACTTCTTGGGTTTGGCTCTCACCATAGACCTTCCAGTTGGAATGTCGTACGGACCTGCTTCTAGCACAGTGGTTTCCATAGAATGGTGCCTCAAATCTGAGAGTTAGGAGTAATGAAGAATAACCTTATAGAGACTTGTGGTAGAAAGTAGCCTTTTAGTGACAAGATTAGTTAGTGATGGAAATTATAACTTCTTTAAAGCCCTCAGCAATGAGTTTCTATATTCTAATTGATACACATTACCAGGAAGGGTGTACTTTCCATAAGATGGGGTACATGAGATTTAGCTTGGCAATCTGTGTAGTCTTCATTATCTATTTCTTGACTTTTAAAAAGCATTTTGGATGGGCTTTCTTAAATTGAAGATTGATATCGGTGAATCACAGAACTGACCATTCCTGAGTTAGGAACTTTTATAGTGGTTTGTTTCCCAGCTCAGTTGACTGACTAAAGAAATTCTCTAGAAATATTTCTAACCTACAAGTACTGAGGAACTGACTAAAAGATTTGCAATGGTAAATTCATAATTGGCACAACAAATCCTTAATTAATCAATATTTAAAACCGTTAACTTTAATTACAGGGCGGTTGATACAGGGTATCAGCATAGGAAGACCTTAACCTGAATACACATTCAAAGAATGAACTTAGTCTTGGGGGAAAAACTGGAGAGAAAAATTACTTGCTTTCTCCATCAGGAAAGAGGCAAATTATGCCCAGTCTGAAAATATAACAGGACATGTTAGAGTCAAATAGGGGGTGAGCTGGTTGTGTGCTGGTTGCCATAGTTTCTGCCTATCTCCTACCACAGTACCTATCTGCATTTTTTGTGTACTGCACAAATATCAGAGTGACAGTCACATTTCAACAACACATAAATGAATGTCATCCCTGCAAGTGCACATTGTGCAACCCTGAGTCCAGTCATTCAGTCTGTCATTTATTTATCAAATATCTGTTCAGCATCTCTACTTTGTTCCAGGCACTATTCTAGTTACTAGACTACAGTACTAAGGAAGGTAGACAAGATCTCTGATCTCACAGAATTTATAATCCAATAGGTGAGGAGCAGAATGGTTCAGAGAGGCTAGTAATAAAGAAGTAGATAACCAGCATTTCAGATATGCTGCTATAAAGAAAATAAAACAGAGAAACAATGTTTTGGGAGTAGCAAATTTATCTAAAATGTACGACTTGTGTTCTAGTTGGCTATTTACTTGTTGCATTGTATATATTTTTATATTCACAAACTTTCATTAAATAATTTGGAGAAGAGTCGAGATTCCCCATATCAAAATATGTTCTCTGTAGGAAATCAGGAAATAAGAGTCAGATTCAATAGTAAAATCTGAGATAATTTGTTTTGGGGTTTTTTTTGATAATTTGTTTTTATAAGTAGTTTGTTGAAATAGAATTTTAAAATAATAAGCCCTGGCCTATAACATGTAAAATAAATTTCAAATCCATTCCTAAGAAAAATTGTGATACACTGCTTCTAAAGGTTGAAAATACAGAAATTAGGGCCGAGGATTTAGCTCAATGGTTCTGTTGCCTGCCTTGCAAGTGCAAGGTTCCAAGTTCCGATCCCCAGTACTCAAAAAAAAAAAAAAAGTACAGAAATTGAAGGCCCAGGATTTAGCTCAGTGCTGCCGCTACCTGCCTCACAAGTAAGTGCAAGGTCCCAAGTTTGATCCCTGGTACAAAAAAGAAAAGGAAAAAAATACAGAAATTGAACTGATTCTTTCAGGTATCTTAGACTCATAAGTTGCCCATGTTAAGTGAGTCACTAGATTTCACTCCCCCCCGCCCCGTCCTTTGCTTTTGTATCCTTTTATCCCTTCTCATTACTCTATCACCAGTCTAGGGGTGTTCTAGACCTGGCTGGTCTATTTAGATAACCTTCCCCTTCTGCCTCTGCTCATAGCGGATAGGTTAGGGTTTCGTGCTACTTTCAGAATTCTGCTCCCTTTTTTGGAACCTTGAGGGATGACTGTCCATTGATTTTAGGATAAAGGCCAGACTGTTTAGCTTGGCATTTGAGGCCCTCTGTGACCTGCTCCTCACCTTACACTCACTGCAGACCTTCAACTTCACCTGGTCCTTCTATTTTTTTTTTTGTTTTTTTTTGTTTTGTTTTGGGCCTTTACTCAAGCTGCTGTCTGGAAAACTTACTGTGTGAGTCCTTCCTGTCTGATGTTCAGAGTTCATTTTCAATAGTTCATTTCTCTTTCTAGTTT